CCCCAAAACCCCAAAACCCCAAAACCCCAAAACCCCAAAACCCCGTAGGTTCTAAGCTATAAATACACGTCAGATAATTATTTTATAATATTTATTAAATATGAAACTTTTGGTATCAATTCTAGCTCTTTTCCTAGCTGTTTCCACAGCTGTTACAGTTGGAGTAAGTGATGACATCACTGTCAGTGGACTATCCTCGGGTGCCTTTATGGCTGTGCAAGTACATGTTGCTCATTCAGCCACAATTAAGGGTGCCGGAGTATTTGCTGGAGGCCCATATTATTGTGCTCAAGGCCAAATCGCAACAGCTCTCACTACTTGTATGTCAGTAGGCTCTGGAATCAATCTCGCAGGGATAAAGTCAGAGATTAAGAGTAAAGCGAGTAAAGGAAAGATAGACGACCCTTCCAACCTTGATGGGTCCAAGGTATTTGTATTCAGTGGAACTAAAGACAGCACAGTAAACCCTAAAGTCAACAAAGCAACAGTAGACTTTTATAATGACTACAATGCTGATGTATCTTCCAATTTTGACTTGGCTGCTGGCCACACAATGCCAACTGTAAGCAACGGAATCACTTGCACTTCCACTCAGAGTCCCTACATTGGCAAATGTAGTTACGACGGAGCTTTTGAAGCGCTGAAGCATCTTCACCCAGACAAAGTCACCAACGAGCCAGGATCTTATAACTCAAACAATCTTTTCAAGATTACTCAAAGTGGAGCCAGCGGTGCCGTCATGGGAAGCAAAGCTTACTTGTATGTTCCAGAGCAATGCCAGTCTGCAGACGCTGATTGCTCATTGCATGTTGTGTTCCATGGATGCCAACAGACTACCTCAGACATTGGAGAAAAGTACGTGACTCTGACTGGCTACAACGAAGTTGCTGAGACCAATGACTTAGTAATTTTGTATCCTCAGGCTTCAAAACAAATATTGAAGAATCCGAACGGATGTTGGGACTGGTGGGGCTACACTGACGGATCATCATTTTTGCCATCATCGAGTAAATATCACACACAAGAAGGCAAGCAAGTCAAGGTCGTCAAGAAGACCATCGACGATATCAGAAGTGGAAAAGTGACCTTGTTCAGAGATGAAGACGAATTCTTAAAAGAATAATCGATAATTTCCGACTAATATCAAATATATTTGCTCTGATCTTTTCTATCCCATAATATTAGAGGGGTTTTGGGGTTTTGGGGTTTTGGGGTTTTGGGGTTTTGGGGTTTTGGGG